ATATAATGTATAAATATATATAAATACATACAAAACTTTTTTATAGTGTTTGTATTAAATCAAGAAAGTAATGATGTAATCATATAGAAAACACATTTTAGGGAAAACACATAAAAAATGTTTGAATTCAAATGTTACAAAAATTACTATTTTTATATCATAAAGTGTATGTATGTATGTGTTTGTGTGAGTCTGTGTTTTGAACGAATTGCAAGAATATTTAGTTTAAGAAAATTATTTATTACCATAAAAATCTAAATTGTTTTATTATTATAATGCTTTAACTGTTTTAAACATGAATTTATTTATATAAAATGCTAATATTTTTATTTTTTCTATTACATATAATTTTAAATACGAAGTAAATGATATTATGACAAATGTTTGATTTATATGCAAACAAATTACAAAAAAACATTTGTGTTAACATTAATACATGTATATGTTTTCTAATTAGATAATTAATTTCTATAATATAAATAAATATAGTAGCAATTTTTTAAATAAATATTTTTTAATTTGTTAAAAGTAATATTATATAATTTATAATATTGGATATTAAAATATATCAAATTAAATTAAAATAAACTAATAAAATAAATCAAATTAAAAATATATATTTCCAAAATATTTTATTAACTATTTAGTTATTATTCTATTTACTGTATATTAGTATTATTAATTAGTATTTAATTAAAAATTATTTAATATATATTGTATAAATAGTCAAAATGCTATATATTAATAATTCATTTATGAACCATTTATTTAAAAAATTATTTGAATTTAATGTTTAAAAATTCATTTAATGTTTTCTGTTGAGTTAAAAAATTATTTAAATTTAATCTTACGGAAACTCAATTTTGATATATTAATACTGTATAAAAAAATAATATAATAAATTTTTTTTTTGATATAAATATGATATAAATATGATATAAATTGATATAATCTGTGATTCAATAATGTAATCGGATATAATCAATATATTTTGATTTTTCAAAAAATTTAAAAAATACGCAATTGTTTTAAAGTATATGACTTTTATGTGTTGTTATTAATTATATGCGTAATTTTCCAGAAATTTGTTAGTATTTATTTTTATTATAATAGATAATTTTTTATGAAATATATTATTATGTATAAAAATGGTTTAGAATTTTATTTACGATAATACGATATTGTTGGTTTACTATTATTAATATATGTATATTTATTTTTTCAAAAACTAAATCTTTTTTTAACCATATACAGTATTTTATTAATATGGATTTATAATGTATATTAATAATTATTTAACAAAATATATTATATTGTATTATATATTTTTTATTTTAAAATTATTTTTATACTTGATTTCTAAGAAACTTTTAGTATCTCAACGCTCACTAGTATTGCGGTTATTAATGACTGGTTTTGTATTTTTTTAAAAAAATAAAAAATATAAGAATAGAGTCATAATTCTTGTGTTTTCGACAATCATTTGGGTTTTTATTACTTTTTTCTTAACAAAACTATTATGTTTTTAGATAAACGTTGACTTATTATTGTTTCAAAAGTCATAAATATAAGGGTTTTGTGACGAATAGCTATAAAGTAATAATTCAATGACCATTACTTCCTGACAATCTTTTGCAATATATTTTTTATATTAATATTTATAAATTTATAAATAATACATATTTTTATAAATGCTAAATTTAGATTCTATAAATATAAATATACAGTAAAATATAATTTCCTATTTAATACATAAATTACTAAAAAATTTGTTGTAATTATTTAACAATAAAATATAGTGCAATAGTTCAGAATATTTATATTAAAATAATTTTTTATCTTAGATTTTTTTATTTGTTATTACAAAAACTGATTATAACAAATAATATTATATTGATTGTTTTTTTCATATGAAATTTAATATTATAGTTGATAATAACCTATAATTTATAAATGAAATTCAACTATATTTTAATGGTTTATTTTTATAAAGATATACAGTATGCAGTATACAGTGGATATATAAAATAGTAAATTATAATTTATAAATATATTATGCTTTAAATGAAATTTATGTTACAGTATATGGTTTTGAAATAAAGAATGTTTTTATTAAAGAATTGAAAAAAATAAAAGATATCTTCGTTTGGATTTATTTGATAACTTAAAGCTGATTAATAACTCTCCTTAGAGTTTATTTTGTTTATATTTTTTGAATATAAAATTTACTAAAAACGTGAGTTTCAATAATACTGTATAAAATAAAAACAGATTTTATAATATACTGTAGTCATAGTTATTTAAATAGATAAATTAAAAATATTAAATAACATCATATTTGAAATTTTTCTACTTTTATTTATAAATTTAATTTGTTTTATGTCATTTGTATTAATAACAAATATTTACTATATCATTAATATATATATATTAATTTATTAAATATTTTTAATTTATACAATATATTCTTATACATTAAATTTGTTTTTAAAACAAAGAAAAAATAATGTTAGAATAAAATATTAAAACTATTTTCAACTATCAATAAACTCGTTTACGACTTTTATAATATTATTGTTAAAATCGATTGAATATACGGTATATACAGTATATATATATATGTGTGTGTGTGTGTGTGTGTTTGTGTTTTCTAGTTATTTGTTTTTATATGTTTAATACAAATGCAAACATACTTTTGATGGAGAATTGTTTAAATGAAATTGAGACTAAAATTTATTAGCCCAAAATAATACAGTATATCTTTTATAGTAAATTATTAAATAATACTTATATTGTACAATATATACTGTGGTTGTTATATTATTTACATATTTATAATTTTACTTTTCTTTATATATGATGTGTTATATGTTGTATCATATATTAAATTAAATTCTTGTTTCATTATTTTTTGTTTAGAAACTAACATTAGCTACAAATTACTAATACAGTACTTACAGTAGTTTATTGTGACTCTAACTGTGAATATAAATTACAACTTTTGCTTAAATGACAAGATAACAGTTCACAAATTATTCACACAAAATAATAACAATAAAAACATCACTAAAAATAGATTTATTTGTAAAATACTTGATGTGAAAGCAAATAAATATGAAGGCTGTGGGCACTAGTAGTATATAAAAAATATATTTTACGACAATCTATCCATTAAATAGTACTATTGTTGTGATGAATGTATAGATTAGCGACAAATAGTAAGCGACAAAACAACGATGATTTTGAAGCAATGTTATAAAATATTGTTAAGACTCAACTTAATTGATGAAATATTAACTATATTGACAATCAAATCGGATTCAATAAGGTCTATATCAAAGACCAATTCAAAATTATATTCATTATTCAATATTTTAATGTACATAATAATTAAACACTGAATAAATATTTTTTAATTAAAAACTGTTAAATAACTATTTTACATTTAAAGATAAAATAAAACTAGTTAATAACCTTTTGATATTATTTGTTACTTTTACTGAAAAAAACAGTAATAAAAATTATTTTTCTGTTTTTAATAATAATACAAAATATTTAGTATTATAAGCTAATGTACTAAATGAGGAGATAACTTTATGAAACATCTAGTTATGTGATCACAACAATATAAAAATTTATATATTAATATATTTATAAATATAAAATATGATAAATAATAAAATAATAAAATAATAAAATAATAAATAATAATTTTAATGGAACTAATATAACAAAAATAGATTTTATGTACACTAAACAAAATTGATGAATTATTTAGAAATTAAAATTTTTGACAATTTGTCGATAAAATTATAATAGAAAAATATGAAAATTTAAAAAAAGATAATTAGATAATGTCTTATTTGATTTGACACTATTTTCTATTAAACAACAAATGCTTCATTAAATTATATCATTTAGTTTAATCTACAGTACATCATAATACTGTACATATCATACATTAACACAAACTATCAATGGCTCAAAATTTTATACAATATATTTTTAAAGATTTTTAAAAATATCATTAAATAAGTTATCTCTAAATTGTGTGAACAAAAGAAGTTTCATTTATGTTTTGAAAAACAGTATATAAGTTATGTACTGTTTTGTGTATTGAATTAAGTTTTTTTTGTTAAGAAATTCTTAACAATAAATAATAATCAATTTCATTGACAAAATAATCACTAGATTTTAGTCTACAGAATATTCTGTTTTGAAAATTCTGTCAAAATATATGACAAACAAAATATAACAAGAAATTTATATATAAATTCAATTTTACTGTAAAAGTATTGAAAGATCACTACATTTTAATATTTATATATACTGTATAATAATAATAATACCATTTTTCAATAAACATTTTAATTTTAAAAAACTTTTCAAATGAATGACATATTTTAAAAATTGAAATTTAAAATCAATATTTTATTTAATGTTATTTATTTTTATATTATTTATTATATTGTCATTCAATGCTTTATGGATTAGTTCTGACAATAAAATCATAAAATTTTCAAATGTTTGCCTAAAATGTCAAAATATTTTATAACAAATTAGTTTATATTTGAATTTTTATTTAAATTAAGGATTTGATCGTTTGTATTGTTTTATTTGAATAAATTTTAAACAACTATATTAAAACAAAAAATATTAAAAATTATAATGCAATCACAAATATGATTTTGTTATAAAAATTATTATAATATTTAGGATTAGTTATTTTATTTTAAAATAATAAACTATATAGATTACTTATAGTTGAAAAGATATGTTTTAATTAATATAATAAACAAAAACTAAAATTTTTAATTCAAATATTAATAGCATAAATGTTTTATGAAAATGCACTAATAAATAATTATTATATAAGTTTATATACACTATTGTTTATAATGAATAAATTAATTAATTTACTTTATAAATAGAAATTTATTATTTAAACAAATCTATTATTTAGATAAAAATTATTTATAAAAATTTCTTTTAAATTATAGAAACAGAAGATCCCGGAAGAGCTTACGGAAGGGGTATGTCTATCATTAAATTAAAATTAGATAATATTAATTAAAATTATTTTTATATTTTAGGTGTTGGATTTTTTGTTGGTAATAATAAATATTTATTAGAGTTTAATTTATTTGAATGACTTAAAAAACAAAATAATAATATAATTGATGAATAAATTTGATGAATACAGGAGAACCGTGTGAATCGACGTGTAATCAAATTTTATTTCACGTATTTTGTAATCTAACGACTCATTTGTGTGAATGTCTATCAGACTATCCGGTAAATGTTGACAACAAAATCTGTAGAAAAGGTTTGTTAAAATCAAAAACACAAAGTATTTATCATTTTATATCTACGCTATTATTAACAATAATAACATACTGTCCAAAGCCGTATCACTTGGAGATAACTGTGAGGCCAGTGAAGAGTGTAGTTATTTGGTGACAAACGCTGTCTGTGGTGTCGATGCTAAGTGTCAGTGCAATCAAGGTATGTATTAACATACTGTTCATCACATCTTAATTATAACCCATTATATGTCGTGGCATTAAATTTTTAAATAAAAATGATATCATGTTGTATATAGTGATTATATATACCATCTATATATGTGATTATATGTAATAAACTTATCTGATTTAAGTTAACGGTTGATATCAGCTATGCATTAGTCTACAATTAAATTGTGTGTCAAATAAATAATAGGTAGTTATTAAATGATATTATCAATAATTTGGACAAAAATGTCTTTTTTATTTAGCTTACAATTAAACAAACATAAAAATCAATAAGGATTTTCAGATAATATGTATTGCTATCAAAATTATGTAAGATTTACTGTAAAAAATTATATACTGTATAAACTTAATACTTAAGTAAATGCACTTATCTTTTGTTGAAAAAACAATTTAAGCAAATATCGATACATTATAATATTTAAATACAAAATCAATTACTGTTATATTTAAATGATCAGAGAAAGAGAAAGAAAGAGAGTAAAAGAAAGATTAAATGAAATACAATTTTATGTCACAATTATTTAGTATTATTTCAAATATTTAACGATAAAAATAAACACATGTAATAAAATATATGTTATGTCATCAATAATCGGTACAATTAATCTCTATTTTTAGGTTTTAATGTTAAAAGTAGTGACAAAATGGGAACTGCCTGTGTTGCCGGTATGACATTTATAAAAATAGTTAATTTATACCCAATGGCTGTATTTATTTGTATTTTTAAACATTTTATGATTAGGTGAGTCACCGATGCATTTACGTATAGGTTCGGCCACTTACGAGTTCATCAATAATGCCGATGTGACCACTTTGTTGAGCCTTATTACTAGTCTTTTTATGCTTATATTTCTACTCTGTTTTGTCATCAAATTGTTCAATAAGTGAGTCTTTACTTCAAATTAATTTTTACACAATTATATTGTGTTATATAATTCATATTATTGATAGTTATTTTAATAATAAAATATTTAATTGTTAAGTAATTATTTATTTTATCAATATTTGGTCACAAAATTAGAGCCCGTTTTAATGGCGCCGACGATCGTTGTTATTCGCGATCATCAGCCGTACCCCCCGTTATACTGACCGGACATCTCCAGCAAACGACTCCATCGCGAGACTCGAGTATAATCAATGACTTCCCCTCACGTCGAGCCAGTTATACACTATTAGCGCCTCCGCCTTCAAACTTAGGTATTGTACTATTAATATAATATTCATTGAATTTTGTTGAACTGTTATTTCGGGTAACAGCGTCTCGACGGCCGAGTATGTCATCCATACGATCTCAAAGTTCATTAAGAAGTTATTCATCGTATAGAAGCCAATCGTCGTACAGAAACAACTATAGACCAGGAAATGGTTTCCGAGAGTCTGTCCGACGAACCACATCCTCACCAATCGATTCAATGCAACAAATTGTGTCAAATTCAGCGTTTAATAGTCAATCATATCGTCAAAACCACTTCACACCAAACTTAAGAAACAAAAGTGTATGTATTGAACATTGCATTCAAATTAATTACCAAATAATGGTCAATAAATAAATGACTTATATATTGTAATAAAATCAACCTTGATACTATTATTAGACTAATTAATCAATTTTATGATAATTTAGGAAACATGTATTATTCATGACTCGTCTGGAATCAACCCATCAGTGCCTAACCATTGATTTTCATTATTTTAGTCAATACAACTATTATACAGTAATTTTCAAAACTATCTCTAAATGTTTGAAATTGAATACATTAAGTAAATATATATTAATTAATTTTAATTGAATATAATGTGTATATACAAAAAAAATAAGATTTATAACTAAGATAAAATACAAAATAAATAATAAATTGATTTAAAATGAATTATTATTTTAGCCAAACATTTAATAAATCTTCATTAGATAAGTGTGTGATACATATGATATATAATGTAAATAATATATACAATATACAGTATATAGGCTTTTACTTAAACATTAAAAGTATTATCAAATTCAATTCATAACATTGTTTTAACATTTTAATAAGTATTATATAGGATTTGAAAAATTAAAACATTAAACAAGACATTAAACAGATTTTCAATCAATAATAGTCAATAGTAATGATAATTATAGTTATAATTTAAACTATTTTGTAAATAATAATTTACATTGTATATATCAAATTGTTAATACTAGCAATAAATAAAATATATTTTTCAAATTTAAAGTATTAGTTTTATTTACAACAATTATTTTTCATTACTAATAAGTTTTATAAAAACTTACAATATAATACAACTATTAATTTAAATTATACAATAATTATATAATATTAAATAGCTACTTATATAGCATAATAAATGTTAAATAATAAAGCATGGTCACCAAATTATACTATAGGTTTGGACTTTTTAGATTTAAATAAACTATAAAAATAATTGAAATTCTAACATAAAATTAAGTATTTTAGTTTTTATATAATCATAATTATTTGAAAACTATTATCAGAAAACTATTATTATTTAGATATTATAGAAATAACCTTGATCAAAATTTATTTGTTATATACATACTGTACTTAGGGTTCAATGAGAATCTCATCCTGGTCAAATAAATTATAAATAATTATTTAAATGTTGTGTCATCTATCCAACACTAATCATTTTATTAACTAATTATTATTTAATTACTCTCATCTTATTTTATTGTTTGTCCAAAGTATATAATTAACAGATACTTATATAATCTTAATTTTCATATTTTTCAAATCTTATAAAGATATGTTAATTTTTTTGTGTTTAAACTATCTTAACTGTAATATCTTTTTCTAATGTAATGAAATATAAAAACTTTTTTAAATATTTTTCTGAAAAAATGGAGGAATTTTAATTGTTAACTCTTTTGGAATTTTTTTCAAACCTATATTAAATAAATAAATTTTTATTATGTTTTTTTCTTTCAATAAATATTTTTAAGATAAGTTTTAATATTAAGATAATCGCTAAATCTTTAAAATAATGTAATGTATTTTATCAATTGGTAAAAGTTATATTTTAGCTCAAAATTTGTGAACAATTGACGCTTTTATGTCGATATTAACTTTACTGACAAAAAAAAAGAAATTTGTTTCAAAAAATATTTTTATTATTTGACATAATATTTGAATTAGGATTTTTTACATCAAATAAAATAAAGATTTGATTTAAAAATAAATAGTTTTACAGAAAAATTTGGTTCAATTGAAAAGTTATGATTCCTTAGAAATAATAGTCAATAATAAATAACTTAACATTTAGTAAGAACTGCATTAAAGTAGCAAATGTTTGACACATTAAGCGCTTATGTAGACTATGGACACGGAGGACGTGTACACCTTTTACAGAGAGGAAATTGATCCTCAATTTGCCATAATTTGGTCAAAAGCTGTTGAAAATCCTGATTCTTGTGATGTGAGACTCGAATGCATTAATGGTCAGTACTGTCATTGCCATCAAAGTCTGTTATCAGTCATCTCCCGGTGCTTTGAGGCCGCCTTCAACTGTTATCATGCAAATCGTATTCGTGAGTTACCACCCGATGAGGAACTAGTCATCACAATGCCATACTCAGTGTCCTTCAATGAGTTGTCTGCAATTATTACATTTATTTATAACGGAGTCGTTTCGGTGGCCGAGTCTCGGGTCTCAGAATTTCTAGAGGCATCAAAAGTTTTGGCCATTAATGGTCTTAAAGACATTCAATTATTGTTTATCGATGACAGGTATATCAATACATTAAATAAATCAAATAATTATCAATTGTTTAATATTGATTTAGCACTCATCTGAGTCCAAGTCAACAAATTAATAGTCAAAGTGATTGTCAAAGTGACTATCAAGACTCAGATGACGACAAATCATTATATGAATCAATGGATTTTCAGAAAGACTTCAATCAATTTACAGCAATCAAAGAGTTTACAACTGAAGACAAGATTGATGACAGCAAAAAATATTTGATGAATAATCCCATAAAAAGAGTATTTATAACTAAACCGGAAAAGACAGGTCTTCAGGGACGTCGACCACAAGTGGGGTCGCCATTGATTACCGAAGAGTTCAAATTAGGTGATCGCTATCAATGCAAAGTATGCTTTAGGAGCTACTTATGGAAGAAATCACTCGTCCGTCACTACAAAGACCAACACCCAAATACCGTCCAATTGGTGACCAAATAATTATCAGTTATTTTCTTATATCATTGTTTTATCATTTTGTGTTTTACCGGTAACTCATAACTGTTTCATTGTACTGTATTTATCAAATCTTAATATAATTTAAATATAGTGTTTGTAATTATAAGCATTTATAGTTTGTTATTTAAATTAATATTATATAATTTATATAATGAATGTACAAATTTTTACTATTTAACAATACTGTATATTAATATAATACAATATAATATTATTATTATATGTTAAATTTAATTGTTTAAAACTCACAATTTATATATGTAATTTAAATTGCAAATGTTAAATCTATTATTGTGTAACTTAAATACAATTTTTTAAATGTTAATTTTGATATATTTTATTACATATTAATACAAATATATTTAAGTGAATAAATATTTATTAAAAATCGTTTATATCTTTAACAACAGTTGCATTGTTGGTGTCATTAAAATCCGAGAAGATATTAGACAAAAATGGTGTCAAATCATAATCATTTGAATTATTTTGTTTATTATTATTATTAAATATATTTCCAATAGAGTCTAGAATCGATGGATTTTTATTATTTGCTAACGATTTGGTTAAATCTTGTTGTATGGGATTAAACAAACCACTAATTAATGTACTCATCGGACCATTAATAGATGAATTAGTTTTATTAACTTCTTGAGTAATGGGTTTAATATCGGACGCCTCCGATATATATTGACGGTTATAAAGATCACGAACAGAATAATTAATTAAAGGATTTTCCGTTGGTTTGGGAAGAGATTCAATTGGTTTGGGATTGGGATTAGGATTGGGATTGAAGATCTCTCTGAACGGATTCAATATAAACTCAGAATTGCTATTAACTTTTGGTTGCTTAACATTGTTTGTCTGGTATGGTATGTCACTGATGTATATGTTTTGTTGTCCACCGTTTGTATTAAACAATTGGGGAACAGTTTGTAGGATTTGTGGTACAACTGGTTTTTGTTGTGATGTTTGTGGTGTAAAAAATCCTTGAATAGTATTGACGACATCACCCACTGAATCCATAACACATTTTCCAGCATTAAATCCTTTACATGAATGTCTTATATAAGTGTTTACTGTTGAATCAGTCAATGTTGAGATTAGTTCATCAGATATCGAGTCCGGACATAAATTGGCGGCTTTGGCCACTTTGGCCGCATCTCTCACACCTTCAATACAAGCGGTGTGTCTAAAATGAGTACTTTTTAAAAAAATTATAAATTGAAATTTAAGATAATATAAATACAATATTATAAACTATAATTACTAACTATTAATATAAATTTATAATATGTTTTAATAAAAAAATATACTTTAAAACATTAACATACAATATATTACAACAAACATAGAATAAAACAAATAAAAGTAAGGAATAACTTGTTTTAATTTAAGTTTATGTATTTGGATAATACATATAAGATTATACAGTAGTTATTACTGTATTATACTAACAATATCTATATAATATTATTTGTTATCTAACTTTTTAAACTCAAACAACTTTAATTGACTATAATTTTCAATGACTAAAACTTCAATGTTATACGTTTCAGTTGAATATTCGCATAATATTTCATGTTTATTGTACTTTAATTTTGTAATTTAATGTAATTTATATTTGAATATTTAAAAAGTAATTGCTTTTATAAACAAAGCTTAAGTAGAATCAGTTTAATATAACATTTAAATCTGATATATCATACAGTATACCGAACATTATTGAAGTTAATAATTTAAAAATTTCATTTTATAATAAATATATATAATATAATAAGCATATAAAAAAATATTTAATAAAACATACCAACAAAGCGACTCTTTATTACCGATCAAGAAATCGGTAACAAATTTGATGGGAGAGAAGTACTGCAGACATGTGGCCACACCAGAGCTGATGGTGCGATCACATTGACTGAACAAATCAAAATCATCAGTCAATGCATTAATGCCTTTGATTTAATTATGATATAATAAATTTAGTTAAATTATCAATAAATTACAAACTATTAAAACTATTCTCACCTATTATAAGCAAAATCAGCACAAAAAGTCTAATTGAAAGCTTCATTGTATAAAAAAATAGTTTTCACTTATTATCCAAACAACTAATCTAAATAGTGTTGTGTCAGTAGTTTAACGAAACGAGTATTTTATTTTATTTAAGAGATATCATAATTATGAGGTTTTCTTATATACTTAAATGACTTGTTTTTAATGGATATTATTTCAGAGTGAAAAGTGAGTGCTTTTATATAAATGAAATAAAATGAATAATACATTGAATTTCATAAAGTTTTCCTCCCATTTGTTGCCATTTGTAGCGTCAATACTAGCATATCATGAGTTGTATCTGAAGCTGATGTACTTGAGCTGTGGTTTCACTTTTGCTCATTTGAATGTCATTTTTAATTAAAACATATAATAGAGACATACCATTAGTTTTTTATGTGAGTTGTAATAAACAATTTTTCATTTACTGAATCGTTGATTTCGTTTAAAAAATCATTAATATTTTATTTACAAGTTATTAGAAAATTAGAAGAAAATTACAAACAAATAAAAATATATAATACAACTAAAAATTATTGATATTTTTTATTAGAATATAATTGTATTTAATAAAACAAATTAATAAACAAACTATTATTTTATTTAATTTTTCTTTTGGTTATTACCACTATTTCTACGAAGATCTTTATGTCCATCTGTGGCATCAATTTTACTTTGAGTAAGTTTGAAGACTTCGGGATCAATATAACCGACTGATTTGGTGGGCTTTACGATAATACTGCCGGTGTTGAGTGTCTTTTGCTTTGAATAGCTGTCATCAGTGATGTTGTCCTCCAAACGACTTCTGGTTTCATTTGGTGACTGACACTTCTTTTCCCATTTTTCAGACTTTTCAGACTTTTCAAACTTTTCAGATTTCTCTTCTTTAATAGATTTCATGTTTGTTTCGTAGTCTTCAATAGATTCATTAGATTTAGATTTTGCTCGACTTAATGCCGACAATCGATAGATAAATCTAATGACACTAAATATTGGTATCCATATTAAATAAATGACAATTACATTGAAGACAAGAAGCAACAATAAAGACAATACTTCAGTCATGTAATCATCAGAGGATCCAAGCATTTGTATCTTAAAATTGTGTGGCGAATAATAAATGTCAAAAACAGATAGACTTAATGAGACAATAATATAAAATCCTAAATACGAATAACGAAATATTTGCCACAAAACTGACGATTTGTTGAGCTGTTGTTTCAAAGGACTACAGTGTAAGTTGTAATGAGGTTTTAAACCAAACCTATAGGCAAAGGCTGTGATTTGGGTGATAATGAATGCCAATAGACTGGACACTAAAATTGTTATCACAAAATGCCCGGTTTGTAGATCTCTTTTATCGCCAACAAAATGTGTCAATAGTGTGACCATAATTGTTATGTTTACTTGTATGAGAAATATGCCGAAAACTAATGATTCAAACCAATTGATTTTTGGTTCAAGTTTGACGGCATGGATCTCATCGGGACTATCAACCAATACATTAATAGGTTCCCCATATGACTCGTAATCAATAATAATAAAATCGGGAAAAATGGTTTGTTTGGAGAAAAATGTTAGTTTTGTTGGCTTTACGTTATGAACGATTGCATTATCCAAATCAGTGCTTTCAATATAGCTTTCGACGGCAAAGAATGTTCGCTCACCTGTCATCTGATTATTGATTTCAAAGCCATCGAAGAATATTTTTGAATCTATTTTTAATGCAAATATTAATTTTAAATTATATTAAATTAATTATTGATAAATAGGTTTAAGAATATATCGAACTTTTGGAACTGTTATGAATGGCTCTAATTTTGGTAATCATTGGTAACGGCGAATGTCGAAGAATGACAAACAATCCTATAATACTTGTTTTACAATCACTTTTAATAATATTTGTTTTGTTTTGTAAATTAATGTCAAGTTTTGCCAATTTTACTTTTTGTCTTTTCTTTATGTGAATCAATTCGACTGCAATGATTGCATCGCTGGTGTTAAAGCCATCGGTGGCACCGCTGAAGAATAATTGACACTCATATCTGTTAATCTGTTCGTTAATAACAGTGTCAGTGCGGACTCCTTTGGACATCACCTCAATCGGCGTCTTTGTGTCAAAATATTTGATTATCACTTTTATTATATATACGATGACACAGAATATCCAAACTATTGAACTAAATATCAAAATAGTTTTATTTTTGTTGTCAAAGAAACTCATTTTTGCCAACTATTTAGGATCTAATCGGTGACTAATTATGTTACAATGAAAATACATAAATTTAAAATAATATTGACTAATGTTTTACCACGTTAGTTATAAACATTTTAATTGTTAACTATTTTATTATCTTACAATGATAAATAAATTTATTGTAATACAAGTAATTATATTTATAATAATCAATTTGCGCGCTTTCATATTAATTATAATTTATAATTAAAAATAATAAATTGTGATAATTTTATTTTATTAAAAAATATTTTTAAAAAAATAAGTTTACTCTAATTGTTTTTGATTACAACTAAACTCAGCCGCGCCTCCAATGATACCAAAACATATATTTGATAGGATGTATATAGTCATGGGTGGGATGTTTGGCAATAGTGATGTCAATTGAATTAATATGGGATGAGTTCTTATAAATGATAGGTTTGGCAAACGTGGAAGTGATGGAAATGATGATATCAATGGCAATGACGACAAAATTGATTTCTTTGATAAACTGTTTTGCAAAGATTTGTCTCCTTTTTTTAAAAAAAAGTAATACCAAAATCAATACAAATATTCATAAATCAAAATTTTAAATAAATATATCTATAATACAGTAAAAATATGATATAACATGATATAAGATTGTATTTAAAATAATTTATGACTAAAAAATATTTTTATATTATAACTTACGGAAACAACAGGGACTCAATTGTCGGTTGCAATTGATTGACACAAATGTCTTGTCATTGATGTATAAACTTTTGAAGTACGCCTCAGTATAATTGTTTACCGATATTTTGTTAACGATTTCAGTACCTCCGTGTCCAACACATTGTCTTATATTAGTAGCGCATCCAACCATTGAACACATGGGTAATGGCAATGCAGACAAACCTGTCTCTTGTAATGCATTCATCAATCTTATAGTTAGTGAACTATCGCTATTATGGTGATCAGTATTTTCCCAAATTGTTATATTCATATTCATATGAAGACAATTATATTGATTTACATTAATCAATATAATTACAAATATCACAATATTTAGATACATATTTACAATACCTTTAAAAAATGAATATTTTCAACAAAAATGATTAATTTAAATATTTTGAATGTTGAATGATAAATAAGGACTAAAAATAAATATAATAATATCCGGGACAACAAATTTATCATAATCTGTATAAAGAGCTTAAAAACTTTTTACCTCAATTAATATATTAATGTCTATAATGCAGGGTTGAAAAAATACAAGGTTTTGAATTTTGAATGTATAAAATGTAATACAATGTACTGCTTGTATACAATTTCTAAACAACAACAAACTAATGTTGAAAAATTTATTTTTAAAAATTAGTAAAAATATAATTGCTAGAAAATGCATTGTTGTATAATAATCGTTGTCACAATAAAATGAAATTCAATAAAAAATTAATATTAAATCTATATTTATTATAAACATGGCTTACTTTGCTTATATAAATACTAAGTGTTTATACAAATTTGGTTTGTATGCAAAATTGGCCATATATTATACTTTGTATTATACAAACACTTTGTCTCTGCCAACACTGCTATGTCAATGAATATATATATATACAGTACCTGTATATAACTTACATTTTATTAACAGTATTACTAATAGAGTATTAGACTGTAGTCATGATAAAGAAATCAAATATTTTTAAATATATATTATTATATTATATAAATTATATTATGTTATATTTGGTTATTTTTATAAAAATATTAAAATAAATTATATTATATTAAATTAATAAATTTATTATAATAACTATAATTTTTTAAAGTAAAATAAATTAAAAGATATAACAAACAATTTAATTATATACCACAAGACGATGTATTAAATTAAATATATATACATATATTATACAATAATTTGATTTTATTGAAATTATAATATCTATAAACATCTGAGCATTTTGTCTATAAATGTTTTAATTAAACTCGTTATGCAATATAATAACAAATGTAAAAATAATTATAATTAATTCATTATATATCAAAATGATAATCTATGATATTTTTATATAATTTAAAATACACAACATTTTACAGCAATTTACATATAACACAATTGCCTTTTAATTTTTTAATTAATTAGTAATTTTTATAAATTTTAACATGCACTAACTTGTTAAATATAATATTGATCGTAATATTTATATAACTATTAAATACATAAATATAAATATTTATAATGTTATTACAATATAATCATTAATAATAAATCTATTACGGTAATATTGCATTCAATTAGTTACAATTGTAATTAAAATTATTTTAAATATCCATTAAGTCACAAATGAGTTCACATTAGACACGACAACAAATTAGATGAACGGGTGATCAATGGTCAGGACTGTTGGCATCGATTAAAACCTAAGCATTTAAAGAGTCTATTCATGTGCGTTACGCGACGGTGAGACCGTACAGAGGAACGGGCGTTTCTGATAGTGGTCTCACACGTATCTATGTGTTGATCTATATCTAATTGCGAATCACTTGACATCAATTGACGGTCAGTTGCATTCATATCACAATTAGGTCGATGCAAATCACATAGAAATGGCAGTACAGACATTGAACGAAATTCCTGTCCGCCTTGTTTTTGAGGTATTTGGACGGCCGGACATATGCGCGGATGCTTTTTCTTAACCCAATCATGATATTTAATGTCTTCAATTGAAAAACGTTCATCGGGTGACTTCTTAAGCATACCACAGATAAGTGACTGCAGTAGTTCATCCATATCTGATGGGATGGTTAGCTCACATTTACTGATGTTCTCAAACAACCGATATATGTTGTCGCCTTCAAAGGGATATTTACCGGTTGTTAAGTTATACAAAGTAACACCCGATGACCAGATATCCACTTTAAAGCCTGAAAAATATTCGTTTCCGTCGGCAATCTCAGGCGGTTGAAAAGCGGGCGATCCCTGACTCAGGTAACACTTATCACTTTGTTGAAAGGTGTCCAACATTTCAGAGACACCTAAGTCTGTAATTTTGACTACACCGGCATTTGTCAGCAATAGATTACCCGGTTTTATATCTTTATGTATAATTCCCTGACTGTGGAGGTATTCAAGACCGGAGACTAATTGGCAGAAGTAGTCGTGTGACTGAAATATAGGCAACTTTTTATCGGCAACTGAGTCGAGTAGTTCTTGAAGAACGGCCACACAATACTCCATTATCATATAGAGCTTCCCTTTCGGCTCATTGTATATCACTTTATGCAATCGGATTACATTCTTGTGGTCCAAACGTCGCAACAATTTAATCTCTCTGTAAATGTATTTTATATAAAACATTAGTTAATATATACAACGTTTACAGTAATCTTAATTTTATATTCAATATATCAATATATCTCCAGTATATTTCACTAAAAAATATATAATAGACTAATTCAAGTTATTAAACTTAATATCATATATTTAACATTAGTATACATTTCATGCATAGTGTCAAACATTGATTGTCATTTATTTTATTTATAGAAAACTAATATATTATATATATATATATATATACTAACCTCTTAGTTGTATTTTTATAAAATAAATTACCTGTAATCACATTGCTATAAAAACGATTCAATTTAACTAATTTAGTGTACAATATCACTACAATTTCAACAATTATTTGTACAAAACTAAAAACTTTACATATATTTACATTTATTGAGTTATATTATATTGTATTCATTGCAATTCATATACCATTAATACCTAATTTTTGAGACAATAATTGATGGCAATTGAATGGATAGTAATTTTACAATACTTATTCATAGCTATAAATCTAACTTTCCCCATAAATATCAAACCCCTTTACAATTACATGCAATAATAATAAGTGCTGTCATTGAACACAACAGCTGACAGTAAATCAATACCAATGTCTGAGTGACTAACTGTCCCCTCAATGTGTATCCCTCTCTCTCAGACAACTTTTCTGTTTATTGTTACCATATATTGCATTATAATTGACTTAATTAAAAAAAATAATATAAATTATTGATAGTGAAGACAATGAGAAATTGTTTAAAAATATGTGATATGAATACCATTAGTGGTAGTAATGCATCACTTGTTGTCAAGTGTTGTCAAAGACAACTCTTCAATCAATACAAACCTTTGGACATTTTGTTCGCCGTTCGGTATTTTCCTGAGTCTCCTCTTTTTCATGATCTTCGCTGCCATCCTCTCGAGTGTGTGTGAGTCGAGACACTCTTTGACCTTCGAGTACGAGCCCTCTCCGACTACATCTCCCATCACATACTTATCGACAAACTTTGCCTTTTTTTTCTTCTTTTGATACAAAATCTCGAAACTGTGGACTCTATGGAAAGCAAGTGGTTGTCCATCGATGTTGTCGTAGAGATAGCTCGACATTGTATTGTTATTGTCTGACTTAATGTCTTGTGTCTGACAATCAATGTTTGGCACAATGGCTGCTGACTTCTTGTTGACCGCCGTATCGATCATAAGCCCAGACATAACATGTGTACCGCATGTATACTAATAAATGGTTGGACCAAATGATTGGTCAAACACTATGTCTATGACTGTTATAGTTGTCTTGTAATTACATGCAGTCATCACAACAATGAGTCCAATGTCTTGTGTTTTGCGGACAAAACATTTGTCACTTGTTTTCACTCTCAACACAAACACTGAGAGTGCGTTCAATACATGACTCACACATAAACACTGTTACACATCAATCATATAAAGTATTAATACATTATTACAAATAATATGTACTTTAATACTAATCATTGATTATTAATAAAAATAATATTGTTTTCAACAAACTATAGGCCACTTATACTAAATATTAAAAATTATATTAATTATCATTTGGTTAAACAATCAAATTTTAATAGTTTTAAATATATTTAAATATATTTAAAAAGTATAACAAATATTGTAAATGTGGTGCAATTTTAAGTTACATTTTTCAAATTCAAAAGTTTATCTTAACATTATATGAGATCAATTTATTGCATACAATTTACATTTAAAAAAATTATTATAAAAATTAAAAATAATCTAATATGTGAATAACCAAATTTATTTTATCAATAAAATTATAAATAATTAAAAATTAATTTAATATAATAAAAACTATTAACTTTAGTGAAATCAATTAAAAATCTAAAGAATATATAATTTTCGTATATTATAATTTTGATTTATTTTAATTTTTAAGTTGTAATTATATTATCAAAACTATTTTTTTGAAATAATTATTGTTTTACCAAAGTTACTACAAACTAAACATATTTATTAAATCTAAAATACATTAAATTAAATGTTTTTAAATATTATAATATAATATATTATTTGTATTTTAGAATAATATTTATAAATATTTGTGTAGTCATTAATAAATATAATTTATTTATTCGGAAATTTTTTTACTAACCGTTATAATATAATAAAATCAATTTAATTAAAAACAAATCTTTTAATTGCAATTTGACTCTCTTTTATCGTATTTAACTAATTATATAACATTAAAAATTGATATTAAATTACAATTATAATCATGAATTTGCGCTTAAAATATCAATGGATTGTATAGAATATATAGAATAGATATTACTTTAATGAGTGCATAATGAGTACGAAATGATATTCATAAATATAAACTTTTTATATATTATTATGATATTTCATATACTCTACTCAGTCTACTGTATTAATAAATTATATTATAATATAATACTATTTATAAATCCTAATATATTTTATATAGAATTTTCTAGAAATGTTTTACAATAAATGAATTACTTGTAAAATATTTCAAAATTATAATAAATGCCTTAAAAACTGTCTAAATTTTTTCCTCTAATATTATTTTAGAGATAATAAATTAAATTGATTCCAAAGACATTTCTAATTTATATTTTATTTATTAAATATGTTATATCAAAATCTAACTCAAAATTAAATAAAAAAATAATTAATTTAATTAGATATGAACTCCATTTCAATAAATATTATGATAAATTACAAATGAAAGTAAGTGTTTAAACTTTAAAACACTTATAATAAAAAACATGTGATATTAAATCTATTGACTATACTTAGTATACTGTTTATAACAACCACGAGTTTTGGGTTTTTCTGTTATTTTCTTCAATGTTTGTCATTTAGTGATAAATAACATAAATAATAATCAAATTTGTAATAATCAAATGAAACAAATATTTAAATAATTTTTTCAGTTGATTCATAAAATATAAATTTATGAAACTTTTATTTATCAAATTAAGTTAATAAAATTAAAAACAACTGAAAATTTAGATAATTTATATTCTATAGTTAAAAATTTATTAAATAATATCAAAAATCTCATTAATTTAATATAATTAGAAAATTTTATACAAATATTACTATTTAAGCTATAATAGATATAATAAACATCACTAAAAAAGTAAACTAAATAATATTAATAATTTCTTCGAATTATTGAAAACTGATTTATGTAAATAATTTTTTAATTTTATTACTTTTTTACATTATTAAAAATCACTAATATCTGAATTTGAAATCAATTTTGGAATTGACATTATATGTCACAACAAAATGATTAATTAATTAATTAATTTTTAATTTGATGAATATTTAATAGTATTTTCGAAAATTATAATAATTAACACCCTTACAATTTTTACTTTAAGATTATTAATTATTTTAAATTAACATTAAACTTCTCACTGAATGTCAAATACTTCATTATTTGCTCAAACATTAATGATTTTATTTGTGATTTTATTAAAATAGTATTGAAACAAATTTTTATAATTAAAACTCTAAAATAAAATAAAATGTGTTAATAATTTAAATTATAACCATTTTAAAATAATATTAAGTTAAAAACATATAGTATCAATTATTTCTTTAAAAATTATAAATAAATTATATATTTATTTATAACAGTTAATCATTTGATGGCTAATTTTTTTAATTAAACTACTGATAAAAATACTAATCGAAATATTATTTAACAATATATTTATGACAATTATGATATATTTATTTTAAAGTCAATAGTTTTTTAAATTATTATTTATGCTAAAAAAGAATTAAATTTTCAAATAATTTAATTTATATTAATTATAAACCTTTTTCTGTTATTAAATATATTTTGTATGAAAAAATCGTTAGTAACAAAACTTGAAGGTTATCTAATAAAATATTTGAATCGTTTATATAAATGAAGACTCTCTTAACTTTTATCAAATGATTAATAATTTATATATAAAAACTAAGATAATTGACAAAAACATGGATTTATATAATTATACAATACTATAGTTTATTATATATAAATATAAGTATTTAAAACTTTACAAATGATTTATTTCTTTTTTATTGCATGTGATGTTGTAATATTAAAAACTAATTATTAATATTTGTTAAAAACAACTTTTCAAGTTCATGTCTATTATAAGTATAAACAAGTTATTTATATTTACTTAAGTTTAATTAAATAAAAAAAACACAATAATTGATATAATATATTAACTGTTTTTTATTTTAATTATTAAAAAAACTTGCTTATTATGAATAAATAATGAACAATCATAAATAACAAATTATGAAACCAATCAAAAATAAAGTTATTTAATAACCAGTATATGCATATCAAACCTTATAGATTAAGATTGTTAACAAAAAATGTTTATAATAATAGTAATAATCATAACAATAAAAATGTTGACAAATGATAGCAAAACATGTTTAGTATTAATATTTAAAATAATGAAAAATGATTTTTAACAATAATGCAAATCCAGTAAATTAAGTAATAAAAACATTAAAAATGATGATATGATAGATATTGAAAAGCATTTGAGTGGTCATCAAATACTTTTGTTAAGCAATTTCTTGCTAAATATCGACGACTTTTTGCCGTAAAGGGCGCACTCAAAGGGTCGGACACATTGACTGTACGGACCCTTATCTACTTTGATGAACCCCTGATGACACTCACAACCAATGGCACAGTTAGGTACACAACCTTTAGGTGGATTCAAGTAATTACTGCAAGTAAGCGGACATCGGGTTAGACAGCGTTTGAACGATGAATTTTGGCCACAATCTGTAGATATATTTTGTATTTTTTAACACTTTATTTATAATTATTATTATATTAGTTAAGTCATACCCGTATTAATTTGTGGTACTTGTGGTACACTCGGTGGCAATTCTTGACTTCTCAACCAATCAATCATTAAAAATAAACAAATTATTGTAATTAAAAATTTCATTTTCTATCACAAAATATATGTATAGTTTTGCCAAAGGCTTGATAAGAGTGAATACCAAAACTTTTTGAACAACAGATATATTTATATAACTTTAATGTAAGCATTCAATAGGTTCTCAATTTGAAATATCAATCAAAAGAATTGAACCCTAAATATATATACAGTTTATATATATATATATATATATATAGACTGGGAGTGAGAGAACATCGGAGAAGGGGATGACTGGCTATAGAGTAGAGTGTCCTCTAGGAGTGTCTGACTAATAATAAACACTCCGGTTTGAAGTCCATATGAAGGACTTATTGACTGATTGGGATGTCATTTCTCTCTCTCTCTCTCTCTCTCTCTCTCTCTCTCTCTCTTCTTTCTTTCTCTCGTTGTATATGTGTGTGCGTTATAAAAACTTATAGGAAAAGTTCAGATCAATTAAATCATTTAATTGGTTAACCTATTTAGCAATTGATGTAAAAGTGATAATACTTTTATGTCGTGTGTGTACTACACTATGTAGTCATCAGAATATAAAAAATATAAATGAATGATAATTTACTATCGGTACTAATATTACACAAGTATTTTTTAACTATGTATAAATAGTGGCTTATATTTCTCACATTTTTTAAGATATGATTCTGTAAAAAAAAATCTGTTTAATTTAAAAAATCTTAAAATATGTCAAAAATGTGTCAAAAATTGATTTTGTCATCAAAATCATTGCGCAAAGACATCAAAAATACTTCCGTTCAAAATGAGATACAAATTATTATATATCAGATATAGTTATTAATAATATAATTATTTTTTAAATTATCCGATAAACTCAATTTTTGTGATTTTTGTACACTATTGAGGTCTATTGAAATTGGTTTACAGCCAAACTCATTAAATTAAACGCATAACCAATAATAAGTCGAGTCATCAGTAAAAGTCATGTCTGAAAGTCGTGAATACTCTATTAGTATTGTTATATATTATGTCATACGACAAGAATTTAAAAAAATAGTTTATAATAATTTTTTAAACTTTCAAAGCTATCAATATATTAATTTATTTATAATCATTTAAGCAATCCCTCAAAAAATATATAACAAATTATTTTGATTTATATTTTAAAAAACAAGATTGACGTCAATATGGGTCTGGTTTTTGAGAAATACAGCGTTAATGTAATATTTGTCTTTGAAATACTCACCTTTTGATTACATTTTGTTATTTGAACCCTAATTATAGCATTTAACCTAATGATGACCTGTATATCCTTGTTTTTATCAACTATTTTATTATTTAAATTTCTTCTAAACATATCGACAATGTTTTAATAATTTTTTAAGAATTTCAAGAATTTTCAAAATATTCCAAAATATTTTAATATATTAATTAACAAATCAACAAAATATCCATTAATTATCTTAATTAAATTGATTAAATGTTTAATAGTAAATATTTACAATTTCAGAAATTTTATTTAAATTTTCAACAAAAAACCTGATGTATACATATAAGTTTCAATCTCATTATTTGTATATACAGTATATATATATATATATATATATATATATATATATATATATATATATATATATATATATATATAGACTTTTGAATGTGTGAAACACGTATTTATTGCGGTTAAATATATTGACCCAGGTAATCGATATCTATCATATAATAAGGAACCGTTTGACAAATTTTCAAAACACAAACAGATATGATTATATTTTTCAATAAAAAATAGTACTTTTAACAAAAAATATATACTTTTTAAATGTATAAAATATTCATTTTATTTAAAGTTATTAAATTAGCAAAAAATGTTTATAAACAACGACTTGAGAGTAATTTAGACACTGTGTGATTAAAAACATTAATATTATAATAATAAAGTTAATTTTATATACTATATTATGGTTATTTTAAAACAAAAATGTATCAAAATTAATTTTTAATAATATACTACTAAAGTATTAAAATTGATTTTTAAAAAATAAAATAAGCACATATTTTCACATATTTTGATTATTTTAACACATATTTTATTAAATATTTTAGAAATATCGACAGCATATTTTGATATCTCTATATACAGTATATGTAACTTTATAGATAACCTTGAAAATATCAATCAAGTTAAATAATACATATATACTAATGATGATACGTATATATACTGTACATATTATACACAAATTTAATCAATCGTTTCATTCATTGATCAAATTAAATATATTTCTTATCAGTCAATATCATAACATTTTGTTTATATTATTTTCTCATTTGTTTTTCTTTTAAAAATGAATAAAAATGTATTATTTTGTATAAAATTAAATATTATGAAAAATAAATTCTAAGTTCAATATAGCAATTAAAAATTATCTAAAACTTAAATACAAAATAAAACAAATATAAATTTATTTTGAAACATTAAAATTATGATTAAAATAGTAAGATAATATTAGAAATAAATTATAGCAATATAAAAATCTTGACAAATAATTCTATTTATTGAAAATTTTATGAGATTTATTTCATCACAGTCCATATCAACTTGTATTTATGTAAATAACTTAATTAATGACAATATATGACAATTTAATCATTGTAAACAAATTTGGAAAATTTTGCAATGATTTATAGTTTCTAAATAAACATTTTAAAAATACAATTTTTATGAATAAAATTGTAAAATATACAATATTTTTAGTATATACGTGTATAGTACGTCTATAGTAATAATACTGTAGTTTAGCAATATTCAATTTCCTGATTAATTATTATAAATTTTAAATTATTTAAATTAACAATATTTTAAAATTCACAACAATTTAAAAGTAAAACTAGTTTTAGATAAAATAAGTAATTTTTTTATTTACAAGTTGTAAATTACAACACTTCATATAATTTGCAGTTTAATTCAATTTTATAGACTGCGCGACGCTTTAATATAAAGTTATAATGATATCGTATTAAAAAATAAAATTATAATGTATTGATAATAAAATTGTTTTATTGTTGTGAAAGTATTAAAAATGGTTAATTAAATATCCAAATATATTATTAATATTCTATAAATTATAATTTGAATTTAGAAACTTAAATATTTTATTTATAAAATGTTTACTTTATTAAATTTTTATTGATAATTATATTATCTAAATTAGTTTTGTATAAAATTAAAATAAAGTATAATAATTTAAATAACTTTTAGCGTACTTAGAGTTTATTAAATTTAATTTGACATAAAAATATTTTGCAATATTTCGAGCACTTTAATTAAAATAGTAAAATGTGATAGTATATTTTAAATATAATGTATTTGAATTTATATATAAAATTAGTTTATTTAAATTGATATGATAGTTAAGTTTAACAATTTGTTTGACATAAATTAAATTATATTTAAGTATTGTAGATAATAAATGGTTTATTTATTTAAAGAGACGATAGCAAAATTAGCAAAATATAGTTTATTTATTGATTACTATTTATAATTATTTACTATAACTTATTACTTCCTTTTAAAATCCTTGAATTATCACTATATTTATTATAATAAATTTGTTTTTTGCACATGTTTTTAAATTGTATTTTCCATCTATTTTTCCATAATTTTGAATACATTTTATTAAAATAATATATATTTTGTTTTTTCAATATAAATAGATATTTCTGACTTATTAATATTCCAATTAATATTGAAAATAGATTTATATATATATATATATATTTAATAGTAATGTTGAAATCTAATATACAGTAACATAATTATAGCCTAATAAATTATGTTTATAAAATAATATTATTTATATGATAATTATATTATTTTTTATCAATTACTAATTAATATTTTTATACCTTTGGCTATTTATTGTTTTATTACAATATATAACAAAATTGTATTTTCTTATATTAAAAATAAATTTTATGATATTGATATATAGTTTATAAAATTACTATTAATTTGTTATAAAAAATAGAAATTAATTATTAAACTTACAGTAATTATCGAATTTTATTAATATTAGTTAATGATACTGTATTTATAATGTGTAATATTAGTACTTTATATAAATTCTTAAATATTTAAAAATTATTTTCTTAAGTAAATTGTCTGATGAATTGTTTTAATATTTAGTATTTAGGAATTGTCGCATATATTTGTTAACAATATCTGGTTTATCAAATGGTGTCCAATGAGAACAGTCTTCAATCATTTTGATGGTATAATTGTCACAATGTTTGCAGCTATCGGCCGGTAAGCCATCAGTGAGTGCCAAATCATTGCGACCCCATATGACAAGTGTCGGTGCTTTGATTTTCTTGTTTTTGATATTTTGCCAAAAATCAAGTGCATAGTTGCGTTGAAGGGCCCGATAATAGTTTATTGGGCCGGTTAGTGCTCCCGGTCTACTAAAGTAGTACTTATAGGCTTCAATATCTTCTTTTGTGCCCAACTTTCTGAATATATAGTCAAATGCTTGCAAATCATTGCAAGTAAGTCTCAGTTCAGGTAAATATGGAATATTGAAAAAGTATATATACCTACAAATTGTTATAATAATTAAAAAAATAATAATTTAGATTATTATAGTAAACCGGTTATTAAAAAATTAATTAGAGTACTGTTATTAATTAGCCAAAAATTTACCATGATGAAAAAAATTGTTTCCAATTGGTCTCAATAGTATCCATAAATGATTTGATATGCGGGGCATTACATACAATAAATCTATCAACAATTTCGGGATACTTAGCGCTGACAGTCCAGGCCACGAGTCCACCCCAATCATGTGAAACTAATATACACTTTTGTTTTCCGATTCCGACCACAAAATCTCTGACATCATCTACCAGTTTATCCAATGAATAGTTGGCGACACCTATTGATTCATAATATTAAAGTTAAATTACTGTTAACTAATTGTTTTGAATTAATTAAATAAATTTAGCAAAAAAACGTTATCACCTGAAGGTCGGTCTGAATCTCCATAACCTCTCAGACTAAGTGCTACGGTATAGTAATCTTTACTAAACTCTGGTAATTGATTTCTCCACGAATACCACACTTCGGGAAAGCCGTGAAGGAAAAGCATTAATGGTTTGTTTGGATCACCGTTTGAAACATAATGTAGTTTTATATTCTGTTTAAACATTAAATAAATTTATTAAATAAATTTTAAAAATATAAAACCTTTACTTTAGTTTGAAGGAAGTGATGTTCCCCTAAACGACTGTCCAAAAGACATTGAGGCGGTTGTGGTCGGGGTTTGACTGTGAAAAAAGTCTTTCGTTTGATAATTATTTGCACAATTGTACCAAAAGAAGTCATTCCGCCATAAATAGTTGCCATCATAACGTTGAAGACATATCCTCTGGTGGTTCCCATTGGGAACAAATACGCCGGTGTTATCATTGCCACAAAATTGTTGAATTAATATAACTTGAATATTTAAATTCAAATATATTTTATATGAAAACTAATTTTACAAATTTTAGTAATATTAAAATATCTTTACTATTAAAGTGATTTTAATAATTAAAAATAATATAATACTTTATTTTCATATTTAAGTACAGTATTATGATTAAATAAAAATGACTGTCACCTAATATACTATGCTTATATAATTTTTATGATTATGAAATATAAATACTTACTATTCTAGTGCATATCAGTGCAAAACTATTTTAGTACATTTTAGTGCTAAATTATAACTACAAATTGTAGTCTACAATATACTGTATGATTACAGTAATGATAATACTTTCAAGCAGTAAATTGAGTAGTTGTCAAAAATAATAATAAAAGTTTTTTAAAGTTATTATATTCTATATAGTGTATATACCGTATTATACTGTATTGATATACCAATATACGGTAAATATACTGTATATACTACCGTACATTATATATATTATATTAAATTTACAGTATATGGTATAATTTAGTTTCCAGCATAAACTATTTTTTATTTATATTAATAAATTCAATTATAACAAATTAAGATTAAGAAATTAAAACATAATTCTGTATATTTAAAGTTTACATGTTTACCGATACACATTATAAAACTTAAACAATTAAAAATTTTATTTTTAAACAATATAATTCTATATATTTAACTATTGATATCAAACTATATTGAAGTTTAGAAAAAATTGTTGCCATACACTCAAACTATTGAAACAAAATTATAATATTAATAAAAGGTTATTATTTTGAAGGTTATTATCGGCAAAACATTGATAGCATTAAATAGAGTTTATTTGAATGAAGGTTAGTGTAAATACTAGAGTTGGAAAAATACAAGGTTTTGAATTTTGACTTTATATAATAGAGTAAAATACAAAGTTATTATACAGTATTATACAAATTTTAAAACTAATATACTGTATATTAAGTTAAAAATTACTTTAAGACATTTAGTAAAAATATAATTTCTAAAAAATGCATTATTATTATAATCGTTATTTCTAAGTTATAATAATCAAATAATTTTAAAAAATGAAATTCAAAAAATAATATTAAATCTATATTTATTATAAAACATGATTTACTTTGTTTATATAAATGCTTTTTGTGGCGCTATTTTTTTGTAAACCAAATTTGTCATGTATTTTACATTGTATTATACTGTATATTACGCTTTGTACAGTATTATACAAACATTTTGTACTGCCAACACTGGTAAATATATGTATTTAAATATATATTAATAGTTTATATACTGTACATTCAATTGCAATCAATATTGAATACAACCAATAGGGTATGTGGAAAAAAGGGTAAAACTGGGGGAAATTTAATACACATAAAGTATTGCTAGTATTACTAAAACTGTTTTTTATGATAAATAAATACAGAAAAATACTCCATTATAAGATTTTATATAAATTTAACTAAAATAAAAAAAATATTTAATTTTTGTAATGTAAAAAATAAACGACAGCTTTAATTATTTATAGAAAATTAATTAATTATTTTAACTGTTATTTATATTATGTTATTTTCCATTGTAAATATAATATTTATTTAATCTAAATTATTGTGTTCTCTAATTGACACAATTGCAATCAACACTGATTGCAATATTCAATAAAATAATTTTTTATTAATATCTAATTTTGCACAAAATAATTTGCAATTTAATAGTGCTTGATAACAACCTGGAAGTTTTTAATATATTTTCTATAATTTTAATAATTAAATTTGATAAACAAAATGACAAAATAAAATAATTTAATAATAAAAATCTTTACAAATTAGAATAATAATAATAAAAATGAATTCATATTTTGAAATCAAAAGGATTTTTTCAAAATAACCAAAATGTTAACTAAAAATAATAATAAAAAATATTTTAAATAATGTGAAAAATTACAATAAAATTGCAAAAAAGAAAAAGAAAATACAAATTGTGTGAAAATGAAATAAAAGTTTAGGAAAGAGTAAAGAGTGGACACAAATGATTAGATATTAGATGTCCAATGAGTTTGGTGTTGAGGCGTGACTTTTAACTGGACTTTTTGTCCTTCTCTGGTCACTTCAGCAATGACTTCGTTGCCGTTTTTTATCGACTCTTTGAGTTTTTTGACTACATCTGTATCTCCTCCGATACTAACAATTTCATCTTTTGCTAGAAAGCCTTGTCTGCAATCATACAGTATATATAGTTTTTATAGTCAAACACATCAGTTATAAATGATATTTATAATTAAAGTCAAAACATATATTGATATATAAGACAAATGTTAAGATGACATACGGATTCTGTGTCAACACATTGACCACTGTTTTGTCTTTCAATGTAATTCCGAAACTTCTTCTTTGTTGTACTTCTGGTATTCCTCTTTGTATGTGTTCTTTAGCTCTTCTGATAAACTCTTTAATTGCAAATAAAATTTTAGTCTTTTTTGTGTATCAAACAAATCAATTGAATGATTAATACTCATACCATTCACATCTTTCGAATTAACGGCCAACTGATGGTGATCTTCGATATAACGATTAGCGAAACCAATCATTTTTGACTCTATATTAAAGACGGGTCCTTCAAAAAAATCTTTTGATCCGTTTGTCCACAATTGCATATTTTTTCTTTTATTGTCTGCAAATGTTTTGAAGTGTCTTTGATGGTCTTCAGAGAAGCATTCCGTCATTGATGGCGTACTCAACACTCCTTTGCAGAAACTTTTCTTCACATTCTCCGTGTAGATCATAATTATAGGACTTCCCTGTTGTAGGTTCTGATCAACAATTGTAACATTTTTCAGAACATTGCTTTTAATTCCATTCAATTTAAGAATTGCTAAATCGAGGTTTGGATCCGTATAGACAACATCAGCGGCTAAACTACTAATTTGATTATTACCAGCATTTGCATGATTTATTAGATCGCTTTCATTGTATTTGTCTAATAATTCAATCGGACATTGAAAACAATCCAATACAGTGTGATAAGCGGTGAGAATCAGATTTAACTGATTATCTACAATAACACCGGTTTTAATTCCGCAATCAAATCCCTTGACTTTAACCACACAATTAATCTTATCGTAAACTTCTGTGATTTGTTTGTCATTGAAAGCACATCGCAGACCAAAATGTGATCTAAGTCTTGACTGAAATGTCTGATTCTCATAACATTTATTGACAATTAGTGTTGTTGTCAATATAGGAACCGATACCAATCCTAAGAGTCTAAAAACAAACAAAAAATAGTATTTTTTAAATACATTGAAAACAAAAATGATTATTTAATTAACTTACTTTGTTGTGTTAATCTTATTTGTGATCAATTTTAGTCTAAACATATTGAAGCAAATTTTAAAGACTCGATTGATCTCAAAATCTAAACTTTTGGTCACAAAACCAGTGAAAAATGGATAATTAATTCAATTATTAATGACTAATGTTTTTCAGAAAAAAGTAGCTTAAAATCGAAACTAAATTCAAAGTTTTTGCAAACATTCAAAATCGCGATATAATCATAAAATTTAAGCGAGACTTGTATTTAATAATTTAATTGCAATTTATTATATTAATTATTGAATGCTTTTCATTGCAATTTAATCATATTGTAGATCTCACTAACAATTAAATTAACTGCAAATCGCGCGCTAATTAGTTAATTATTTTATATGTATTTTTAGATGAAAATCAATTGGCAATTGAATTACTGTATTATTTTTTATAGAAAACATAGAATGTATTAAATGCATTGATTTAACTATTAGCGCGTGAAATGTACTAAATTTATTAAAATAAAAAACAAATACTAATATAAATACATTAAAACATAGCAAACCACCATAACTTTCACCACATCTTAACCCCACTCCATCCCATCCCATCACCACTTCCTAACCTCACACACCCCACTCACCTAACCCCCAAACTAACCCAAATATAAAAGTATTATCAATATAATGGTATAACATATAAAAACACTATTAAAAGCGAAACCCCCCTAAGGTAACTAAAGCCCATAGAATTTAGTGATTTCATTAAATTTCTCGTGAATTTAATTATAATTTTATTGAAGTTTTCTTTTTTTATTATTAATCAATTGAGTAGTTTTTAACAAATTTATTACAGTCTTATATATTAATTTAAGTTTAGCTAACGGTTCAAACAAAATGATTAAAAAACTTTTGCTCTTAAACTCAAGTATTGCAAAATCATATAAATAATTATAATCTTTTTGATTAATTCATTAACATTCATAATATTTAATTAAAATTAGTTATTTGTTTAACGCTGATGGTTGACATTAATGGCGAATCAATACATTTATGTAAGGCATTGAAAGACAATACCGTAATAGACTTTGCAATTGCTGTTCCCAATGATAACGTCTATCAAATGTTTATTGTCATCGGAAACAACTACTGGGAACTGGAGTACAAATTAAGTGGTAGTCGTCGTCGACGAGATGTATACGACATGTTAGGCATTCCTTCGGATGGAAATCAAGAAAATTCAAAAAATAATTCAATCGACAATATTAACCAAAGAAGTGGTGAGGATATGTCTGTACCGAAAGGAGAACTCAAACTAAAGAGCAGTTTTAGCAAACAAAGCAAATGGTTGTCCGGTAAATACCAGACAGGATTTGGTCTTAGATATGATGACAACAATCAAATAATTTTGACTTTAGTTGATGTAATAATAATACAATTATAAACTAGTGCTAAACAAAATTGATACAAATTAAGTTCACTCTAACTTTAATAAAATAGGTCATCAATGGTAAGATAAATTGGGCTTTATTTCCAAAAAACATCAAAGTATTGACACCAAAAGGCCAAAAGTCGACATTTAATGCAAACTTCGATGAATTTAAACCAAACGTTGCTTTCATTCCTATTTCATATCTTAAAGAAAATCTGATTTTAGTAATCGAGGATAATATTGGCTCAAAAGCAGCAAATTATCGCTTTTACAAACTAAATGATCCCAACAAAGGTTGGACTGAAGACAAAACTGCTTCATTACCACCGGCCGTTCAAAAGTTGTCAACAATGACTAATGTCTTAATTAAAGGTTTATTTGGACTTCAATTGCCCGGTTCAAGTGATGCCCAGAAAAATGGGTTAATTGTATTGACTGAACGCTGTACACAAACTCCAGCGCCCACTAACCCTTGCAGAGGAAGTATTACATATCATTATTGTATTACACGAGAGTCCACTACTGATCCCATACTCGGAGGAAATATGGAGGTCGGTCTTAGGGATAAAGATATAAGTTATTAATAAATGTATTAAATCATCCATTAGTGTCATCCGGCAAAGTCAAAGTCTCTTATAGATTGTTCAAAGGACTGGTCATCAGAGGTACCTCCAGTGGACTCAGCGAATGCTGACGATGAAGATTTACTATCAAATGGAGGACAAAAATCTACAAATGATAAAAGTGATGACAATCGACAAGTCGATGGACACAATGGAACTACAGATATACTTTCATCTACAGAAAAGACCACAAACAGTGATAGTGGTGGCAAGTCTTGGATAATATACGCCATTATCGCTGTTATCATTTGTGCCATTATAGCTGTTCTTTGCATTGTCTTGTTTTGTGTAATGAGAAAGAAAGGAACTGGTATTCAATTATTCATTACAATTGAAGATTTGTTTTTCAAAAATGTCATAAAATTATATTTGTTTATAGAATCAGAATTTAAAGACAAATCTAACAGTAATTCACAACAAAACTCCGCCACAAGTGATGTCAAAGCGACTAAAGGTATGACAATTATGTTTATAAATGTTAATAATTATCTCCTAAATTGTTAACAATTATTTTTAACAGTCTCATCATCTATTAGTCGGGCACTTAGTGTTAGAAGTGGTATTCCTGATAAAAAATCATAATTATCTGTTTATTTATTTATTTAATATTTATATAATCCAATTGTTTGATGTATCTATATTTTGATTTAAATTTTGATTTATTTGTTTGTTATTTTATTTTTATTATTTCAATATTTTTTGAAACGTTATTTTAAATAATTTTTTCAATGAATTCTATTTTCTTATATAAAACAAATTATTTAATATTTAATTTAAATTAATAAAATTATATTAAAAAGCTAATTAAAAGCTTCATTTACAATTGATCAATAAATTAAGGTTTTATATTTCAAAATATTCAATAATTAATACAACCATTTGTGAAACATTTGGTAAAAATTTACTAATAAAATGTACAAAATTAATCAAATTATATTTCTATTAGTCCTATTAAGTTTACATTATAAACCATGTCATTTATGTCAATGTCCCCCTCAAATAAAGGGTCGTTTATGTGGGGGTTATCTGACAACAGTACTGCCAGCAAACACGGGATGTAAGTTCAAGACTATCTATTCGTGCGACGGATCAAAAAGCAAGTCATCGGCAAAACAAGAGAAATCCTGTGACGACATGCCGTGTATTACCCGACAGGATATCGAAACAGGATTAACACAAGGGGTGTGTTTTCCCAAATACCCGTATATTATTGATTTTCAAAAACATAAGCTTAATGTGGCTGAAAACTATTATGGCTAACATTATTGCATAAACCATATTGGAGTCTAATTTAATTACATTACTATATTTATAGTTAATAATCAATAATTATTTTTTATTTATAATTACAAGTTTGACATTAATCATAATTTAAAAATATACATATTAAATAATATTAAAATTAAAAATGACATAAAATGAAATTTAAATATTAATTTATAATATTAAAACATAAGTAATTGTATATAATTACAAACAAATAATAAATGTCTTGAGTAAAATCAATTAATTGGTCACTCAATTGTTGGTAAATATTAATAAATTCATAAAATTACAATCAACGTATCATCGACTAGTAATTTATTAATACATTTTTAAAAACATGTATATCTAACATACATGTAATTAATATATTTATAAATTGTAATTAATAAACAAATATTAATACAAATTCTCGTATCACAGATGCCATCAATTATAAGCATTTATAAGTCCCGTGCAAATGGGTGTGTGTGTATGTATGTGAGCACCGGGACTAAGTAATAGATATCTACCATTAGAAACTATGTTTGGCACTAAATGTTTTTGACAATCAATTGTATAAGTATTACATAATTGAAACCAAATTGCCTACAACTTTGTCAAAACATTATTGATTGCAATCTCGCATTGATTTTAGTCTCACTTTTAACGTGTTTTAAAATGATATCGATTTTGATTTCATTGTATGTTTGCTAACAGATATAATAACTGTCCATTTGATTGATGTCATCAAATATACAGTATATACTTAGATATATATATATATATATTTAACAGTTAATTAAAAACAATTATAGAGTATATCTATTTTTATATCATTTAAGTCTATTGACATCAATTTTCTTGTCTTCCAAATAGATAGGCGTTACGTGCGATGGTTTGAATGATGAATAGGGACTGTTGGGTACGCCAACCACCAAAATCTGGTTCTGCTTATAGAAGAACCTCCACATTGAGTTGTGATATCCGCGGGGATCCAAATCCCATATCTTGAAACACTTGGCCACTGCCAGCCACGTGGCGTAGTCTTTGGGTGTTATCATACGTATGAATACCACATATGTCTGGCCTCTGGTATTTGGTATAAAGGACTGTTCGCACGGACTCTTGCTGTGGTCAACGACTATGGCTTTTCTCAATAGGTTATGAATGAGACGCTCGTAATTGTCTTTTTTGACACTGATTTATTAAAATAAATATAAATTATAACAATTATTTTAGTTATATGATTTGAATTTGAAATACCTATCGATATCTTTTAGTTTAATGTCAGGCATCGTATTGAAGGCATGTTTCTTAAAATAAATGTCTTGAAAATAGGAGTTCATATTAAGGCCTGAAGAGCCAAAATGATAGGTTCGCGAGACATCGGGAACAATGCATTCGCGTTGACGTCTAATATCAGGTAAACGCATCCACATATCCCAATCCCATAACTTTTCAGGTGTGGGCCAACTCTGCTCTAACTGTTGTTTATAGAGTTTACGGCTCAAAAGCCAACCTAAACCGGGCATTGTCTCAACTCTGTAGAGTAATGCCGGATCAGCACTGGTATGTTCATATCCCTGATCATTCCAAGCGCTAATACAATATATTGACTCGTCTTCATCAAGAAGTTTCATTGTTTGAGAAAAATAAGAGAAAAAATCAGGAGAAACATCCAAATCTTCTTCTAATATAATAGCATATTGAGAGTCAGGGAACAGATTAAAAGTGGCCGTTAGACTAGCCTTATAATGTTGACTAATGCGAGCATTACCGACACCGATAGGTGTGTGTTGAATGCCTCTCAAACCAAACAGTTTTGTTACTTCTAATGGCTCTTCAAAATAGCCGTCAATGAATACAGTAATCATTGATGGATTGCATCCCGAGGAAGACAATAATGACCTCAACATTCTGTAGAGATAATGGGGTCGATTGGAAGCCACAATAGCGACCGGAACTTGTGATATGGGAAGTGAGTGGTTGATGGGTCCGCTCAGAGTCAACGGCGCCGGTTCTAAACAACTACAGACACTTCCATAGCCCTCAATATGCGAACAAAAATTTTTACGTCTTGTGTTATCTTCACTATCACTCCAATTGCATTCACTTTCAGAAGCAGAACTCAATCCGATTTCGACCCGCAAGACAACTGGTGCGCCCCAACTGTTAAACTCAGGCGATCGGCTGTAACTCTCGGCTAACATTTTGCCACCTTTTTGAGTAACCATTGCCCACATGTCTCGCCAACCGATTTGCTGTGATTTCTGTGAGCCTAACCTCTTAAGCACATCACGTGACGATTGTTTCATTTGAAAAGTCCCCTCGTCTTTTATAGCCATTATGATAATCCTCCCGTCTGTGATCATCGATAGGAACAAAGACATGGCTTCATCTTCATGGGGAGAGTATGTATCAAAGAGACGCTGAGCCATAACGGATCCGGTCGACTGGTGAAGAACCAGCACATGTATGCCTCTTCCCTTGTTTTCATCCGAGTCGTCTAATATCTATATAGTGATAATTCATCATCAAATCAATAACCAAATGATACAATTAAATGGATGATTCATTCATACAGTAGTTCCGTCCACAATGACTGAAACTTTTGACTGACTCGACAGTACTTCCACTTTGAGTACTCTGTTTTGGCTCTCCTGTAGTTTAAGACTATTAGGTCTGACGTTGTTTGCTGAGGAATCGTCAGCTATTATACAATAGGGAGAGAAAAAACAAACCATTGAAACAAACCATTACACGAGGGGTTATAAACATATCAATGGTTTTGTGATTTTTTTTTTGCTTTAAAAATCTATTGATTTTACCATTAATTTTAGATTCATTTCGCAGACGTTGAGTAGTGTCCACAATAAACAATATATTTATTATAACAGTTACCATCAAAATGACAAAAAATATAAACTATAAAACAAAGAAAACAAAAAATTAATAAAATTATTATTAGTATTCATTTCTAAAATTATTTGCAATGCATAGTATTATTAGTATAATATTTTTTATATAATACAACTATATTATTGAAATGTTTTTTGGATATATTATATAAAATATAGAATAACATGAAAATGTAATAAAATAAAGTAAATAAAATTGATTTCAAGTAAAATAGAGTCAATAATAACTGTGTTAAACACATTATGTTTGTGTGAAAAGCAATGACTAATTAGATATAATCTTTAGTTGTAATGTTGTGTATCATTAGACCAAATGGTCAAATGTTAGTCACAATGGTTTACAATTGTGTTTATAAATTATTATGTGTACGACAATAGAGAATATAACTAAACTGTATAATCATAATAGTTATCGAAATGATTTTTTCTTTGATGTAATACACCATTTGTTGCCCCATAGAGTATAAAACTGTATACACCATCCCTTATAAGCTATGCCTATATGGTATGGCATCCCATTTGCAACTATAACGGTCTGACTTTCAATAACCAGTGCCACCCAAACAATCAATACAATTGCCTTTACATCACTATTTTGTTGTCCAAATGACAAGTCATGGAAACAAATCTGGCAATTCTTGTATAGACATTGTGTCACAAATAATGGCAAACCATTTGTTCATCCCTTACATTAACAGACAATTCACTGCAAAACTCCATTCAATTTGAGTTTTCCTACCAATCATTTCAATGCTATTCCAATACTATTACAAATACTATTCAAACTTTTCTCTACTATCGATAAGACTGTCTTTATTTTCTTATAACAAAATATTATTCAATACATATAATGGTAAGAAAAAAATAATAGTCAACCAAAAAATCAAATCACTTTTTCATTATATAAATCGCAATAATAATAAAAAAGATAAAATTGTTGTTTGCGAGAAATACATTTGTCAAAATGTGATATTTTATGCAAAATTTATAATATAAAACTAACTATAATTTACTTATTTACACATTATGTAAATACATATTATTTTAATTGATTTTTACAATTCTTGCTTTCAAATACTTTCGAGTTTTAAAAAATAATTTGTTGATTATGTGACTCTTGTTTTTATATAATGATCAGTCATATCTAATAATTGCAACATTAATGACCTAAACATAGCCCATAATACTAGAATTGCTTGTATTGACAAAACAATAAAATTTCTATTTGTATATACAGTTCAGTCAATAAATATCTATTTCTTGATACAAAAAATAATAGTCACGAGTAATCTATTAGTCAATACATCACTGGTTTTGATAAAGTATTTGTGAAAAAAATTAGCACTCCTTTCGATAAAACCATAAATAATATAAAATGTATTGGCTTTGAGATATACAACACTGTTTGTCTTTAATGTTAACCATTACTGAAAATGATTTATTAGATATATTAAAATAATTAGCTTTTGTTTTTGTCAATATATTATATATAATAGTAAATTTTCTCAATATATATATATATATATTATACAATATGTATATATTATTAAAGTTATATATATATATATATATATATATATATATATATATACTGTATATACAGTATATATGATACACACATTATCGCGCATATATAAACACAAATTAGATTAATTCATCTATTTATTGCATTTTAAATGTATTAATATATTAAATTTAAGCAAATATATATATTATATAACCTATATATATATATATTTATATATATAGACTATAGACTATATAATTATCAATATATGACTTACTTGTAAAACTTTTGCAATCATCTTTCGGGGCATAATTGGTGTGAAATAAAACTGTGGACTTGAGTTGATTAAGTTGATGGATGACTGATGATGATAGTGATGGTGATAACTGGATCGCCTCCCAGACAGTGACGGTAGTGAACGCGCCGGTCTTAAGGCATGCATGTCTTGTTTAGATAGTATGTAAACGTCAATTCAATATACAGTATTTATATCATATATATTATATATAAACATGAGTTTTTAAAATGTTAACATTTATAGAAAGTCAAAAGTGATTTCTAATTTATATAGACTGTACGGTATGTATACATATTTCATATCGTGTTTATACAATCATCTCACTATTTATTGTAAAGTGTTTTCCCTCTTAAATGAAACTCTATTTTATAAAATCAATATAAAATATTGTGACTCAACATAACTCAATGATATAAATTATTTTGAGAGCTTAAAAAAATTTGAGAAAAAGAGAGAGAGAGAAAGTATGAGAGAAATATGACACAAATATTTGGATTGTTTATGTTATGTATTATTTTGCATCCAATAAACATAAAAGCAATTCAACGTTAAGGTTAAACCATTAAAAAGACAGAAAGCATATCATATGCATTATTATTATAGGGTATAACTTAATGTGTAGCAGACCTGACATTTGAGCAAAACTTGTTTTTTATGGGAAAAATACTTTTTGACAAAATGAAAATTATACCAAAAAACATAATATGAGTGAAAACGTCGTGAATATTATTGTAAAGTCATTTTATTTATGCTTTTCATTTGTTGGTTGCATTTGAAATGTACTCTCCGGTGACTTGTATTACAAACTATATATAACTTATTTTAAACAATAATTCACTTATTATTTAGGTTTGAATGAATCACTAGTTTCTCTCAGTTTAATAAGGTTTTGATTTAAGATTTTATTTCAAATGTCACTCAATAACATAGATTTTATATAATTTACAAACAATTAACTTTTTTATGACACTTGTTTGTATAGAAAAGAGTTGCATCAAACTAAAACAGTAGACAATATAAGTACTCTCAATTGTAATCAATAAATTTTTGGGCATAAAATTCAATGAAAATAACTGTTGAAACACTTAATAGATTTACAAATAGATGACTGAATTACAGTACAGTATGTCATACATTGAAAAGTTTGTATTGACTGTGAAGTGATCGCTGAAAATGTTTGAATATCTATTGAATTGCGCTTATAGTGTATAACACTAAACACTTTAATATACATTCAATTTATAATTTAGTTAACTTGGGATTTAAACTAATGTTTTTATTGAAAATATAGTAAATTTGGTCACATAATTAATTTTATATTATTAACAAACGTTTTATGTCTATCTTATTAGAGTATTAGAGTATTAGAGTATTACAGATATTTATTAATGAAAATATAAGCATTTGTAGTTTGACTAACCCTTGATTGCAAATTAAATGATAGAAAGTTTATATATTTAGTGTTAGAGAAAAAAAGTTATTTTGTTTTAAAAATGAAGACAAAAGTTGAGCACTGGTAGGTTGAGCTCCTGTTTGCCTCAAAAGCCGACAAAGTGTTTGAGCAAAGGTTAGATAAATATTTAACTTAAGGTAAGCATAAAATGTTTGTTATTTTTGAGTCTCAATTGCAATGAATCTCACGTTGCGTTTAGCTCTGGTTTTTGTGTAATATATTTATAAAATTATATACAATAAACAATACTATAGTAATAGTGATATCTATGATATCAAATGCATTACTTGACATCATTCATAACATTATTGCCTTTTGAAACAATCGTTTCGCTCAAAAATTTGTTTGCATTTTTATTGCAATATTATTAACTAAACGATTTGGTTCAATGAACCTCTCATTTGACACTAAATTAATTGCATTTTATTTCACTAAATAGTATATTTTGTTTTTTAAGAGACGATAAAGCATTTATTAATTCATGTAATTTAGTTAATATGTTTAACATACAGGTATTAATATTGGATCACTTCATAAATACAAATATTATATAATTTTATATTTATATAATAACTATTCAAACAATTTAATTCAATGACAAACAAATTGCTTGCGACAGTATTTATTGCAATACTAAAAAAGTTTATTCTTAACTAATTTTAGTTAAAACAGTTATTTCAAATGTTATTTATATTTATATTGTATTAAATTATATATTATTATATTTAAAAATTATTGTTAACTTCATTTCTTATACACTAAAACATAAATTTAACAATTATTTATAAAATTATTAACGACAGTAAACTTTAGTATTAATGGAAATACTTATTAGTTATCCAATGCATGCAATTAAAAATTAACACTTAAATCAAAAATAAACTTTTGTGGAGTTTTTAAAAACAAAAATTATAAGTAATTATAATTTTAATTAAACTAAATATTTTAAACAATTGCTAAAATAACATGTGATACAAAACATTTACTAGTAATTATACTAAAATGATATCTAAACTAATGAGTATATTAAAAATCTTAATAAAAGTCACGTCTTTTATAATTGAATCAAAAAATAAATTTGTGGCAAACCGTAAATTATATAATTTTTACAATACTATTAATAATATTGATATTAATAAATATACATTTATTAGAATTGCTATTTTTAAAACTAAATACTATTTTTAAAAATATTTTATTAATGCATAAGTCGTATATTTTTTACAAATACTCTTATTATTACTTAAATCATTTAATATAATTTTTTTTAAATGATAAATATCTTGATTTATTGTTTATATGATAATTATATTCGTAGCTGTTTTTAAAGTTTTTATCTTATAAGATATAATTCAAATTAAAAACTAAATAAATCATTGTTATAATAATAAATGGTTTTCATGTAAAACAATTAAATAAACTTAATTAATATATAATATATTTGTTGTATTTATATATTTTTAAAAACAAATTTTGTGAAATTTTCAAATTAATGTTTTTTAAATAAACAATAATTTATTATTATTATTATTATTAAATAAAGTTATAGTGTCAGCTCGGTTAGCAAAAGTGTCATGGACAAATATTACAGTCAGTCAATCTAGTTATTAATGTTTACTTTAAAAATTTTACACACATATACAGTATATTATTGTACATAAAGATTACAGTCATTATTTTTTTATAGTTAATTTATTTTTGTCTAATTTAAAGTTTATTTTATTTTAGAAATTACGAGACTATTTTAATTAAAAAAAAGTTAAAAATTATTACTGTTTTTTAAAAACTAAAAATTGTAATTAATTAAACTTTTTTCGTTAAATCTTAACTATTCAATACATTAAACTGATTTAACAAATTTTCTATTAAAAATGTGATTCAATTTACGGGTATTATTATTATTATACAGTATATATATATAATGTCTTAGAGTGAGTGATATATAATATTTTTATATAATAAATATAACAATTAAGAGATATGGAGGGAAAGTAAACCCCAAAATAATAGGATTAAGTGGTTGTCAATTCACACCGTATTTGATGCGTTAATATCTGAATTTATGGGCATATAATCAGTAAAATTTCTAAGCAATAAAAGTAATGATATTTTATTTAAAGAAATCTAGGATTCATCCTTTAAGGACGACTATAGAAAAATAACAACAACATTACAATACATTTTTGAAATTTGAATTATGTAATTAATCAAGTGTTTCATGTTTACAGTCAATTAGTGTTGTATTATCGTTTCCTTAATTTAATAATATTATTATTTTTAACAACAAGACACTCATAAATTTTGAATAAAAGTTTTGCTCCTGTATCCCACAATTATGACAATTTAAACTTATCCTAATGTTAATTGAAATATTAAATTGATTACTATATTTGTATCCGCTATATATAATCGTCCACCATTTAGTATAATAAAAAATATATAAATAAAACAAACTAACCAGTGTCAAACTTTATACAAAATATACTATTAATGGATACTGTAAATTTATATAATAATCTATTTGATAATTATTTGAATAAAAACAACAATAGATTATTTTATGCTTATAGTTAACTGTTTAGAATGTAATAAATTACTAAAAAATAAATATCTTGAAATGAAAAAATTGTTAAAATCAACTAAACATAGATTTAGAGGGAATGGGTTAATAGATATGACCAAAAAATACAGACGTCTTTAAAGTTGACTGTTATTTAATTGAACATTCATTTACTATTTTACATAAAATATTTATGATATTTGAGCTATTTTTCAACAAAAAGTTGAAATATTTTAATACTGATAAATAACACATTAAATCGACCATTACTTTCCCCTTTATCCTAATAGCTTTATTGCAATATATAAAAATATTTAATATTTTTCTACAGTAATGGTAATTGTCAAATAAACGACTTGAATTTGAAAATATATTTTGAATGCAAAATTTTTTATTAACATTAAACCATTTTTATTTAGGAATTTTTTAGCATGTTTATTTTGTATATCTAATGTTAGATTGATTAGATAAATTATATTCTATTCTATTATTATTACTCTAACATAAAACATTGTATATTACTATGTAAATAGAGTATTAATAACTCGAAACAATAATATTAAATAATAATATAAGGGATATAATAATTAGTAATTATATAAATGTTTGATACAAAATAGACATTAACTTACCCACATGTATGCGGAAGTATTGACACAATAAAACTACTACTTAAAAGATATGGAGACAACTTATGTTGATATATGATATAACCAGAGAGAGTAAGTGAAAACTATAAGAAATATAAATATTTTTATTAATAAAAATATAATTCATTAAATAATTTTTATTTTAAGAAAAACAAAGAAAAAAATAAATTAAAATATTAGAAAGTTTGATATCATTATAAAGCATATTATCAAAAATAACACATTTCTTGTTTGTTATAATGATTAAAGAAAGTTAGCTATACTTTTAATGAGATATATTATATATGAGATGCAAAATCTTTTTATTTCATTTTGTTAACAAAACTAGTAATTAATGGACAAATCCAAGCGTTAATTCACGATTAAGTTAATGATAAAATTTTTGTAAAAATATAATCTTTTAAACAGTGTTACTATTATTAATACAATATAAATTTTATATTTTTATACATACAGTATATACTGTATATAATTTATAGTGTATAATATTTTATACAAAATATATGCCCATCTATTTGACTGTCTTATTGATTGTAAACTTAATAGTTTGTCAGATATAAGCACTCAATAAATCATTGAAAGTTAGCATTTAATACAATATATTAGCTGAAGAGCTCAGTTATGTAATGTGATGTACAGACAGAGAGAAAGACAGTGATTTTCAGTACTTCCAACACTACAATCCATGCATTTAATATACTTTATTATATGTTTGCATATAATGTCTCTAACATAAGCTATACTATTGATTTGTGATATATTTAATGATTTTGAAGCCAAATACAGTTATGCATACATTTATTTATATAATATATGTATATATTGGATGCTCATTAGCAATACTCTGACCAATACTTTACTAAATATAATATCAAAGGAGACGTCAAAATTGATTTATCGAAACACAGTATTTGGAAATTAAATAAATATATGGAAACCAAATGACAACATAATTAATGAGATCAACAATACTATGTTTGCCTATATTCACATCAAATACATTCATATCAAATATATTTTATATGAATTTTCACCAATTTTTATGCAATATATATATAGTATTTTAATGCCATACATTTCATATGTAAATTTATCTTTATATTATACTAAATATATTTACGTCTGGTTAAAATTTTATTTATGATCCAAAATAATATTTCTATAAAAGTTTTGAAAATATGTAAAACTTTTTTTGATATAAATTTATTTGCATATCATAGTGACTAATACCTCATTTTAGGAAAACAGTCTAATAATAACAACAATAAGGCTATTATCATAATTATTATATAAGAAAGACATATAATTCAATACATAAATATTCATTGGTATAAATTGAAATAAATTAATCCCAATAAATTATTGTATTCACTATTTGTATAATTTGACTAAATAGATATATTTATTATTCAATTTGATAATAAATATATACTGTATATAGTATAATATTCATAAATCAAGTGTATTATAAATCGATATCTTAATATTTATATGATATATTATATAAACTTGTATAATGATAAATTATTTATTTATATATATATATATATATATATATATATACAATACCTGAGTATTTGTTTGTAATATTATTGTGTGGACACAATTGAATAAATCAATGAATGAATGAATGAATTGAATATTAAATTTATTGTTAAATTGAGACATAAAGGCCTTATTATAAGTCCGGTATATATTTTATATTAGATTTATAAATAAATATATGATGTAAAATATGTCGATCCTTATAGACTTGGGACCCGCAGGGGTTGTCAGTGTAGACCAAACAAATTGGCAAAACTTATTTGTGTTATATTATATACAGTATTTATTGATGTAAAACACTTATATATATAACAATAATCCTAAACAACCCAAGAATTTATTGATAATAATCTTTACTTTAATATTATTTATTATATTTGAAGCACACTCTTAATAAAATAAAACTAAAGTTTGTTGATTACAAACATATTGAATAAAATCAATGAAAACAACATTTTTCTATTATTTTATTTTTCATTGAAATAATAGATAAAATTGAGATATATATTGATCAGTAATACTAAAATTACAGTTATTTTTACTAAACTTTTTTGTCTGTATTATTTGCATTGTATTAAACCACCTGTATGTCACTTTAGATATCAATTTTTAGTGATATTTAAAACCAATATTTGATTATTTAATATAAGTGAATTTGTGTGATTAAAAGAGCAAAATTTAAAATTAATTATCGATTGTTTTTTGTGTTTCAATTTTAATATCATTTCCTTCAAACATAGTTTATCACGAATTTGGCTCAGCATTTGATCCAATTTTTACATTAATTTTAATTTACACGTTATTATGATAGCCACTATTATATAATTTAAAATTTTACAGTTATTATAATAACAATAACAATAATAATAAATATTAATTTTCAAATGTTTGCCACAAAATATAATTTATTCTGTGATACACGTTATGAACTATTATAACAAGTACTGTATTTTATGATACAATTATTAGTTGCTAACGATTTAGTTTACACGACATGACTGTCCCTTAATTAAAATTAAACCTTCTGTAAATTATGTATAAAATATTGTTATCATATACGGTATTAATGACTTGTTAGTGTGCTATTAATACAGTATATACCAGTATACATATATAAGATAAAAATAATCAAATTTTTAATATATTATATTTTATCAAAAATATTGAAAAATTTAATTTTGAAAATTAACCTAGGGTTTAATTAAAAGTTTAAAACTATTTTATTATTTATAAATTATTTTACATATAAAAATTATATAATATATATATACTTAATGTGACATTTTATAAAATAAAAATACAAAATACTGTCTAAAACATTGCTTTAATACTATTTCATTAAATTTTAATAAATGTACGGTATTTAAATTATTTTTAGCAAAATGAACTATATTTAAAAATACAGTAAATACTGAAAAACATTATCAATATCTAAATAAAATATTTATAAAAATTCAAAATTATATTATGTTAATGTATACATTTATCAGGCAAAAGTAAATTGATATTTACTTAATATTAATGTTATCTTAATGTAAATCAACTTTTGTACCAAATATGGTCACTGATTCAGACGAACTAAGATAAAAGTGGGTAACATATAAAACACAAAATGTTTAGTTATAGTGATCAACAAATTTTTCATAAATCCGGGACATTGACTGGACATCTCTAGGTGTGAAATTGTAATTAAAACAATATAATATAATACAATTAGGGTTAAGGCAATCGGATTCATTCCCTTGTTTTATTTTACAAAAGTTTCACATTTTCCTTACTCACTGGGAATCTATTTTTATGTGGTATAATTTACCATAATGAACCATAATTTACATATTTATCATACGGCTTGAAAAACATATACAGTAGTCTATCAAATTATATATTGACTGAAATACATTTTTTTTGCTAAATATTTGAGTTTTAGTAATTTATATCATAATTTGATAAATATTAAGTAAATTATTATGAAAGTTGTCCGACCACTAAATACAATATAATTAAAAAAAAATTAGTCCTACATTGTATAAGTTATATCGTCACCTAAATTTATTAGATTCAATCCCTAAATTGTCCAGGTCAATTGAACGTATTGATCACTATAATATAAAATATACTGTATTATGCAATTAAATGCTTCGTCAAACAGTGTTATGCTATAGATGTATATAATTTTCGTGGACATTACACTCAAATTTTGTCTAATATTTTATTATTTTTATCTCAAATGTCAAAATTTATGATTTCATTGTCAACTATGATAAAAACTTTGTTTATTGAACCAAATATAATGCAACCAAATTATGCAAACAACAGGTACTGTACATTCAAACTATGAATACAGTGAATAATTATAGCAATAAAACGGTTTCAAATTTGTCAATAGGATTGTCGCATACAGACTATTGTTGGAAAATAAAAAGTGTATTGGCTTTTAAATTGCAGTTAACTTATTAATATTAATAGCGTGTTATTGTGAACATATTTATTAAATGCAAATTTATTGCCCACTACTATAAGGTAACACAATCTCGTATAATACGGTAACACTATGATTGTGTTAATGATGTATAACATTAGTGAGTATAAAGTTAATGAAAATAACAACTATTGAGTTGACTATAAATGTGTTCAATAGTTTGGGTAAAGCGCTCCCGGAAGAGCCTTAAGTCTTATATTATTATTACTATTATATAATCATATAAGTAATGTATGGATATATGGATTGGCAAACAATTTCATACACTTTTCCTATCTTTCGAGTGGAACTAACAGACATTTGGCGTGAAATATAGCGATATATAATACAGTTATATACTGTATATATAAATTGCATATACTATACATAAACCTTTAATATATACATTTATAAATGTATGTTATTTATGCTATTTATGCATAAACTCATTCAACGAAAAAGAAATGCATTTATTTGATTGCATGGCTATTGAAGAGCTCAACTATAATAAAAAGGTCTTCAAAATGGCGTAAAAGAAATTGGGATTTACAGAGAAGGGTGAAGACACTGAAGACATGTCCTCATATAGAGACTCCTTCCATGTCATCAATTGTCAGATAATATCCCAAAAATAGGCATACAATGTGTCGATACAGTTGACAGAGTTCTTTGAATATCAATAATAAAACTTTACGCCAAAGTAGATGAAGGAGAAGATGATATCAAAGTATTTCAAGACATCGAAGAGAGAAAAAGAGAGAAAAAGAGAGAAAAAGAGAGAAAAAGAGAGAAAAAGAGAGAAAAAGAGAGAAAAAGAGAGAAAAAGAGAGAAAAAGAGAGAAAAAGAGAGAAAAAGAGAGACTAAAACTATGAAACCAACCATAGCTTTGTCTCTAATACTGTTTTACAGAATTTGATGGCATATTTCTAACACATATAAGACATATATAAAGACACTGAATCCTAGACCGGGATATATAACATATTAATATATATATATAAATAATATCATATACTGTATGTTCACTCGTCAAACCTCAACATTAATATCTTTTTTCTTCCTCTCTTTTGACTATATTT